TTCCACACCTTTTTTTTAGATAAACAATTAAAGTTACTTTGCCCCTCTTTTTTGATATTGTGTACATAATTTATACATTACAATAAATATATTGTTCTGTATGATAAATTGCTCATGTGATGTATATTTTCCACTTCCTTTACAACAATACATTGCTCATGTGATGTATATTTTTCTGATTCCTTATAATACATTGCTCATGTGATGTATATTTTTCTGGTTCCTTATAATACATTGCTCATGTGATGTATATTTTTCCACTTCCTTATATATTAAATACATTGCTCATGTGATTTATATTTTTCCACTTCTTTATGATACATTGTTCATGTGATGTATATTTTTCCACTTCTTTATGATACATTGTTTATGCGATGTATTTGTTGCCACTTCTTTATGATACATTGTTTATGCGATGTATTTGTTGCCACTTCTTTATGATACATATGCGATGTATTTGTTGCCACTTCTTTATAATACATTGTTCATGTGATGTATTTTTTGCCACTTCCTCCACACCTCTTTTAAAAACAATTGTAGTCACTTTGCCCATCCTCTTTGATATTGTGTATACGTACATACCTTATACATTACAATATATATTGTTCCGTACGATACATTGTTCATGTGATGTATTTGTTGCCACTTCTTTATGATACATTGCTTTATATGTGATGTATTTGTTGCCACTTTATGATACATTGTTCAATTGATGTATTTGTTGCCACTGCTTTATGATACATTGTTCATGTGATGTATTTGTTGCCACTTTTTTTTATCATACATTGTTCATGTGATGTATTTGTTGCCACTTCTTTATGATACATTGTTTATGTGATGTATTTGTTGCCACTTCTTTATCATACATTGTTCATGTGATGTATTTGTTGCCACTTCTTTATGATACATTATTCATGTTATGTATTTGTTGCCACTTTTTTATTATACATTGTTCATGTGATGTATGTTGCCACTTCTTTATGATACATTGTTCATGTGATGTATTTTTTGCCACTTCCTCCACACCTTTAAAAAAAAACAATTCAAGTCACTTTGCCCCTCCTCTTTGATATTGTGTATACGTACATACCTTTACATTACAATAAATATGTTGTTCTGTATGAATCACTGCTCATGTGATGTATATGTTTATGCTCAGGTGATGTATTTGTTGCCACTTCTTTATCATACATTGTTTATGTGATGTATTTGTTGCCACTTCTTTATGATACATAGCTCACCTTACACTATTTCTGTGTAAGACATTGCTTCTGAGATGTATGAAACTTTCATATTTGAAACTCAATCCTTAGTAATGTTATATTTTCAGTAACACAGTATGAAAGATGAATGAAATTTACTTTCGATATATAACTCAAACCTTACAATGTGATTTTCTATGTACTGAATGCTTTTCACATGAGTTTAGAAAGTATTCATAGACTCAAATATAATCATGTATAAATCAAACCTGACAATAAATATGTTCCGTATGATACATTGCCCATGTGTTGTATTCTCATCATGTAGTCTTTATAATTATATATCACTCTGTTCCCCCTCCAATGATATTGTGTTTATACTCCAAACATTACAATAGGATAATTTTAGTAATAAATTGCCCACGAGATGCATGAAAGGAAATAATATGTGTCACTCAAACCTTACAATATTATACTATTTATGTAGTGTTATTTATGTGCTGTTCTTGAGACGAATACATACTGTTTAAGCCTTACAATATGATACTCTTTATGTAGTGTTATTTATGTACTGTTTTTAAGATATTACATACTTTATATGGATGATTTATCTGTAAAATTTAATAACTGTGGTACTGGCTGTTTTATTGGTAGTACCAAAGTAAATCATTTATTATATGCTGATGATCTTGTTAGTTTTAGTCCATCAACTGCAGGTTCACAGAGCTTGCTAAATGTTTAAGACAATGATGTTAAATATAATGCGAACAAGAGTCACGTAATGATTGTGAATTGTAATATCTACATGTAAATATGTTATATGCACCTCTGCCCTTGCAGCTGAGTCTGGAATAAAGTCTTGAATGGAATCAAATCCGAGCTTACAATATGATACTATTTATTTACTGTTCTTGAGATGAATGCATACTGTATATTAAACCAAGGAGTGTTATAACTCCTTGGTGTGACATAATGTGGAATGAGTGGAACCTACATTGATATGACAATTAAGGCTGCCATTTACTTATCTATGGATTGTTAAATTAGTGTCGTGTTTAATAATGTTCCTTAACCTTTCAAGTCTGATACATTATTTTCTGTCAAAATTAAAATCACAATGAAATATGTATGACTTTCGCTTAAATCATCATGTTGGATTCCAGCTGTCATACAATCTTTAAAACAAACACATTTGTTTGAAAGATGTGTAAAAGAAGGCTTGAAGCATATGAATCTCTTATATTCCAGGTCATTAATGTTAAGTTCACACGGTTTTGATGTCCACTTCCCTTCTTATTTCAGACTTCCATGTATGTACTATCATGTACTATCAGTTAGCATAACTGTTGACATTTCAAAAATTTCCTAGAAGTTGAGAGTGATTTAGTTGGATACAAAATGTAATTAATCACATGAGTTCGTGCTTTATGCCTATAGATTGTGTGTAATGATTGAATTGAAAATGAAATGTAAAAAAATGAGCTCATATTTCATGCCTATTGATTTTGCTTAATGAATGATTGAATTGAAAATAAGTGTTATAAAATGAGCTTTTTTATGCCTAATTGGAGTGTGTGTAATGATTTAATTGAAAATGAGATGTTATCGAAAAAGCTCGTGTTTTTATGCCTAATTGGAGCGTGTGTAATGAATTAATTGAAAATGAGATGTTATCGAAAAAGCTCGTGTTTTATGCCTATTGATTGCGTGTAACGAACAATTAAATTGGAAACAAAAAGAGCTCATATTTTAGGCCTTATGATTCTGTTGATTGATTGAATAATTCAAAATAAAAGATGGTATCAAATGGTCTCACATCTTATTATTTTCAAGAGCAAAATAAATATTTGCTGAAATACGAACAAATCCCTTTTTTTGCATTAACATTGCAAGGGTGCATGCTGCAACACAATTATAGAGGTTTTTTTTTTTGTCTCTTTACCTCTTCAAAGGGACTTCATTATTCCATTTCAAAATACATATATACTATTTATACAAAACAAGTAAAATTACCAATATTTTGGGAATGCTTTTTTTATTTTGACATTTCGAATAAAAATAAAACACAATTATAGAGTTAGAAAGGGAGCGGAAACGAAGTAGAGAGCCATAAAGCGAGAGGGAAGCAAATTGAAAGGAGAGGGAACAGAGTTCAATTATGAGATTGAGAGAAGAGAGAGAGAGAGAGAGAGAGAGAGAGAGAGAGAGAGAGCAAATGAAAAAAACATACAGAGAAAAGTGAGACGCATTGAGAGGGACATTTCAATAGATGACATCTCCAGAGTTTTAAAGTTTTTTCTTTTTCCAGGAATTATCATACCTCAGAATACTCATATTGATTAACAATCTTGATTTTCTGAAACTTTCCGAACACTGAAAAACAAACGTAGTTGGACCGGACCATAAGCCTAGTTACTGTCCGTCCGGAGAGGTATGGGGAGGGAAACAAGATTTGTGAGGTCGCAGTACGAAAAAATGTCGTTTACACTCCCATCAGGATGGGTTTTTTCCCTCTAAATCCATAAGATGTCATAAGTAACATAATATATAATATCATCTATGAATGCGAGCGAGAGAGCTTTTGGGGAAAATCGCTCTTAGCCGCTTGAAATTAGGGGCACATTAATAGGGGACACTTTCTTTCTTTCTTGTTCGCACATACATCATGATAAGAATAATCATTACAAAAATCACTGCACAATAATTACAAAAGGTAAAAACAGATGAAAAACGTCGAACAATACACAAATAGTGGGTAACACTTGAATAAGGGATAAGACCCTTATTACGAAAGAAAAGGAGCAGTGTCAAAGTACACAGGGCAATCAAAAGAGGTGATAATTGGGCACTTCTTGCACTTATAAAAAGAGGCACACGCCAGGGATGAAAAAGACACTTATGAAAATGGGAAATAGGAATTTGTCGACGGAAAATGGGCACCGATAAAATTTTGATAGGGGCATTTTTAAGAGGTGAAAGTGGGCATTTTAAAGGGGATGGATAGGTCCCTTATTAGAAAGTAAAAGGACACGTATCATTGTTAAAAGGGAAATTATCAAATGATCCAAAAGAGGCGGAGCCTAATCCCATTTGTGTCATGGCTTCCGCGCGTGCTGCTTTCCGTCTAGTAATTATATTTAAACGTCTTTGGATGGATGAGAGCGTGAGGTTAGGAAAGAAAAGTGGAGAATAACACTAAATTAAGAGTGGGGTGGAGCAGAAGATTCAAGAAGAACAGAGCTCATGGATGGAAAATCGATGGGAAAATATATGGAAAGAAGGAGATTGAGAAGGAGAAGGAAGTTATAAAATGGAAACAACTGAATGAGATTGGGAGGGGGGACTACAAAAGGATGAAGTAAACTAGTTATAAAAATGAAACGGAGAAATAGAGAAGGAAAACAAAGAGCAGATATAGCTACTTTACAAAAGATAAGAGGATGAGATTGAAAAAAAGGCAAATGAGAAGGAAAATCATATGGTAGGACGTCATCAACCTAAACGAAAAGAAACACAATTCTTCTTTTGAACTAGTGATCAGTGAATTTACCAACTTTTTAGCTCGCAGAATTCATGGCTTGACGGTATGGGATTCAGTGACGATGACATGCATTTATCGTAAGAGGGCGCTTTCTTTCAACAAGCGATAACGCGCCGATTTTCAGATCATTACGCTGCATGCATTTGCAGACTTGATCGACTGTACGCAATACAGTACGTACAAAGTAGCGCATGCATATTAGCTGTGTATTAAATTTGCTATACGCGCGTCAGATAGCTCGTATATACTGTACAGGAACTTGTGTACATTTTGTATGCATCGGCCGCGCGCACGATCGAGACTAGCTGTACTAGTGTGCAAGTGAAAAAGACTGCTATGGAACTCAAACCACCGTATAAAATAATGCCGGATGCTTAGGACTTGGATAACTTGTGCATATTTCTAGACTTTCTAATTCATCTTAGGATTACGGATTTACCATGGGATGTGGCAATAGTACTGATGGGAAGGGCGAAGATGGAGAAAAAGGATTTTTCCATCGCAGACCGAAAGTCAGCATTCGAGTTGGGAATTCTGTCAAGTTGTCCACTGACGAAACCACAATTGTTTTTATATTCGGTAAGCCGTGCGTGTGTTACATGTACAGTGTACGTTTGCGTGGTGTGTGTGGATGAGCTGCGGTTGGCGATCTACGCAAGATGTGAAAATACTAGCTGCAAACATTATGTTAAATTATTTAAGATTAAATCGCTAAATAGTGCATGCTTTTCAGCATATATCATAGATGAGCATGTTTATATTTACCTTACACAATGTGCTTAATTTAGCATGTGTGTGTGTGTGTGTGTGTGCTGTGGTTGAGTCAACTTTGAATTTGAATTTTGACATCAACTGTCAACATGATCAAACCAATTTCATGGCTGAAATTAAATTCCCGTTCACAACTCGCCAACCTCATCCTTCCACAGTCAAGGATCATTTACTCACAAAATTAAACAAATTTGTTTTCCAGATATGCAATATTATTTATGGTCAGGCAATTCCTCGTTTCTTTGGCTATCCTGATGCCTTGACCCCTTGTGATGCTTTCTAATTTCTAATCTGTTTCATTTAGATCTAGTGTTTGCCTAAACTTTCATTTTCTCAGAGTCAGACTCGGTCATAATCATGCCTTCATTCAACTTCACAACTGTTCATGGGATGGCTCTTTTCATGCATTTCAATTGATTGAACCTGTAATAGTGTTACAAAGTGTTAGGAACGTGACAATTTGACAAATGTGGAAATAGATTCAATTCAATTCAATCTCAGTTCATAAGTAGACTAGATCTACATGTAGATCTAGTCTTATCATTTTCTACAAAAATATGTTTGGACTCTAAATCTAGTCTCTAGATCTAGACTCTAGATCTATTAATTTTTGCATTAAGACATTAGTCGATACTAATACTAATCATTATTAAGGAAAGCAAATTTTAGACCACGATTGGGTGAAACACTAAAATTTATCTTTATAAAAGTTAAAGAAAAATTCTGGCTCCAGTGTTAACTCATTCTTTAATACCATGCATGCTCAAGAGAGGAAAAACTATTTTTGATACTTGCACAAACATTTACTTTGTTTTTTTTTCAACTTGATATTACGGAGATAACTCCCGCCAAAACATTATTAATGATTTTAATAGTACTACACTTCTTGGATATTTTCATGATCCTGTTAACCAAAGTTCCTTTTAGAATATTTAGTGGGTGAATGATGGGAAAAAATTTCTAGCATTGAATCTAGCAACCTATTGACCCTTGAAAAATGCTACATTCTACAATCTACATACTGTAGACTATAGTGTAAAGTAGTGCTGTAAGTCGGAGGCTATGTTCGTGTTTGATTCGGTTCGGCAGGGTTCGGCAATTTTTCACCCGAACTTGGTTCGATTCGGGTTCGGTAATATAATAGCAAGCAGCGTTATAGCCACGGCGGTCGGCACTCGGCGGGCCGGCCGGACGGGCCAAACCAGCATGGAAGACTTCTGCCCACTCCCGATGAAAAACAGTGCCTCCGACAAGCACGAATTTCACATTAAAAAACTGCTCTAAACGTAATTATTTGTGAAGAAAAGTACTACTTACATTTGTATTTCCGTCTTGAATCGTGTTTTATTTGCAATTTTAAAAGAATCATGTTTTCAATTTGTCAATAAATGATATTTTTGACGGTTGTCTAATGTTAGAGTCATGAAAGCTGCCCTCTTGAATAGCAATTCAGGCTCGTCGATTACTGTTTTTTATAAGTGTTTATTTTCAATAAATAAATACCATACTATAATATATATTTATTTTATTATTTATATTGTAAAATTTGTCCGATATTGTTACAATTAAAAAATTAATTTTTTTGTTGAATGGGTTTGAGCTAAACTTGTTTTGACCAGCGCCTAGATCACGCACATGTATTCTTGTTTATGGCTTGCGATCGCGACGTAGCGTGGTCAGGATTTGGGATTTAACTCTTATCGTGCCACAGGGCTAATCCCCACTGTGCCAGGTTGTTTTGGAGATAATCTGATTAACGCGATGGTTCTATGAATGGCGAGTGCAAAACCCACAGCACAGCCCAATGAGCATGAACAATAACTGCTACTATGAATGCGCCCTTGCACGCACATGGCACTCAATAGGTAGCGTGCATGCAGCCTCATGGCAGGCTATGGGTTAAATGGCGCCAGTGAAGTTGCGCCCACCACTGGATAGGCATAAAACGCAAAGGCGGAAAATGGGAAAAAAGTAAATATAAAATGAGCAATCATAACATGAAAATTAGATACAAAATGACAAATTTATTAGCTTGCGAAAAGGTTTACATTTTTCTGCCGAACATCCGAACCAGGCCTTTGCGTTCAGTTCGGTTTGGTTCGGTTCGGAAGTGCCATGTTCAGCTAACTTCCATTCGGTTCGGCTACAGCACTAGTGTAAAGCAATTTTTCTGTATTGTTTTGAAAGTGATTTTCATATTAGCTACAGAGATTTCCATTGTCAAGAATTTAGGGTGTTTAATTGGTGTACACGTACAGTACATGTATACTTTAATTGCTTTCTTTGCCTCTCGGCACGCTTGCACGTTCAGCACCAATTTGCACCGAACAAAAGACACCAATTCATGAAATGATTGCTTGGCGCAACACAATGGCTTTGCAAAATTAACAATTTCCAGTCTTGGTTACATGTAAAGTGTAGTTCCATTACAACCCTGTTATTACTGGTGAAGATTAACCTTGCACTGGATTCAGTTAAAAGGTCAATTGGAAGGGCATAGAGAACTGTCCAAACATCAATGAAGAGTTGCAGTTCAAAGTTCAAAGTTCACATATATTTGTTATGACAGTGAAAATCATCACTTAGAAATCTTGAGGGGATCGGTCATCTGCATGCTGGACCTTACCTACATGTACATGTTGTGACATGGAATCAGTTGCAACAAGATATTATATTTCAAGTGTAGATTGTTGTGAAAATGCCTTAAAAATTAATCTTTACACTGTAATTGCTTTCCAGTAGATATACATCTATGTATTTTATAATTTTATCTTCCTATTGTGTCTTACTTTTCTTTTGCACCTTGAGCACATTATTCATGTGGCGATGGTGCATTATTATCATCTGAAAGCACATTGTTATGCTCTAATAAAAAGGGATTGGGTAACTTTGTCTCAGATCCTTCGAAAAATCCTTGATTTAGGTCATGCTGCAATCATAATAATAAACCTTTAGGGCATACATGAATCCCATTGAGAATTTAAAGCCAATTGCCTGTCTGATTACCAAGATATTTATGATTGTAAATCGAAATCATGTTTTGCTTTTTTAACGGTTTTCATAACACTGCAGTCTATTAGGGAAAATGAGTATGGTCAAACAGGTCACTCAATTTCTTTACTTTTTTGAGGAACTTCATGATCATTTTGAAGAGCAATTTTTTTTAGGGCTTCAATATTACACCACATCACAAACACTGATAACATGATGGGCCGTGCAGATTTAACATAAACGATGCATTTAAAGACCATTAATTGTTTGTTGTTCCAGGTGGACCAGGATCTCGTAAGGGACGCATTGTGGATGACATGCTCCACATGTATGGATTCAAAGTGATCAACGTTGAGGATATACTACTCAGAGAACTACCCAACAAAGCAAACATCTCAGCAGCAGGGAGCATTAGAGAGACCATGTCTATTGTATCGGTAAGTAACACGCATTCGAAAGAAGGGGGGAAAGGTAGATGAGAGAGGGATACAGTGAAAGAGAGAGAGAGAGAGAGAGAGAGAGGGAGAAAGAGATAGAGGAAGGTAGAGAGAAAGAGAAGAGGGGGGGGGGGGGGGAGAGGGAGCATTGGAGAGAAATTATGTGTATCGCATGGATAATAAGTTACACGCATCAGAGGTGGAGAAGGTTGGAAAGATTATATGTACATGTATTTTAAAGCTTATCTGCCGTAGTTTACAGGAGGGATTAGACCGCTCTGCAAGGTCACTGGACAGGTGGTTATCTCATCAACTCAGCTCTCAGTTAACATAAGAGAAAGAGGATCATGGGGGACCAATGGTCACCGATTAGGAATTGTTTGTTATATAGAGGGCACAAGTAGCTACCAGTAGTGCAGTGGGCCTTTAACAGTCTACATAGAGAAGAGAGAGAGAGAGAGAGAGAGAGAGAGAGAAAGAGTAAATAAGGTTGAGGGGATAGTAAGCCTTAGATAGGGAATGCATATCATATTTACAAATGATATGCTTTAAAAAAGCCTAAGGGGAAAAACATGATTAATAGAAGTACGTATACCATATCATGGCGATAATTTGAGCCACTTTCTCCCAAAATGCCACATGCATGTAAGGAGGGGGTTGTACAAGGGGTTTGATATACAGACAGACACTAGAGGCAAAGAGAGACAGAGAGACAGAGAAAGGGAAAGAGAGAGTGAGAGAGCGAGAGCAGAAGGGAGATAGCAAGAGGATACAGTTGGAAGGTATCAAGATGAATTGACGTCTTCAAGGAGAGGAAATATTTTTGATGACAGAGAGGGATTCAAATCAATTGAGAAAGATTGATAGAGATGGATGAAGATTGAGATTGAATGAATGCTAGAGAGAGAGAGAGAGAGAGAGGGAGAGAGAGTGACAGAAAGAGAGTGGGGGAGGGAGAGAGGGAGAGAGAGAATGATAAAGAAAATGATAGAGAGAGAGATAGGGAGGGAGGGAGAGGGGGAGGTAGGGAGAGAAAGAGGGGGGGGGGGGGGAGGAAGGGAGAGAGAGAGAAAGAAAGGGAGGTGTGCTCTTCCATGCTGTTCTAATATGATTAGAACAACTACTTGACTCTTCTGCATTTCACATTTGTGATATGCCCACAGGTATACATTGTAGGTACATGTAGTTTGTGTTCGTGCATGAAATCCACCCCTCACTCTCACATTTTATATGTGCAGTCATACTGCGGCTACAACGTACATACATTGTAAGTACATGTACTGTACATGTATATGTAGCATGTCGGTTCAGCGCCAGAAGGGTTTTCATTGTGGGTCCCAATTGAGTTAAGGCTCGTTGAGATACATGTATGATGACGCGGCAAAACCGCTGCCGTTTTTATATGACGTAATTTCAATTCCCTTTTCATTTCTGAATCTTTAACACAGAGCTCGGAGAGGCAAAAACCACTGCCGTTTTTATATGATGACGTGATTATGCGCAAGCCCTTTATTGTGCGCAGTTGCTATTCATTTAAAGAATAAAACGTGACTTTATTTTTGTGGAGGTTTACCACACCATATCTGATCATGCCTTCAATGCAAAACAGACATTGACTTTTTACCATAGAGAAGGATACAGAGGAGCTCATAGTTCAGGCATACTGCTTTGTACATGCATGTTTGGAATTCAGCTTTGCCTACATTAATTTACAACTGACTAACATAAATTTACACATAAGGCGGTGTCACACAGAAAAATCCCTTGAAAAATCCTTTCAAGGGGAGAATTTTTCTTGCTTCATTAGAGGATTTTTAATGGGATAATTGATGACAGACGGCAATTAAGAGGATAACTAAAATCCGGATTTTTGGCCTCTGTGTGACACCGCCTATAATGTACATGTACATGTAACTAGATGTAAATAACGCCTACATGTAGCTGGAATGCACTCCATGGTCTGGAGATTGAATCCAATGACCGGGGTATCTGTAAAACGCTTTAAAAAAGTGGAATATTATTATTATTATATCAGGTACGTGTACTGTATACATTTGTTTTTTCAGCAAGCATCCATATATTTGAGCCAGAACAATTTTGGATAATTGATGAAACAGGGTTATAGCATGACTGAACACATGAGCTATGGGGGCAGTGTATGTAGTCTTACCGTTCAGACCATGTACAGTGTACATGTATTATCCTTTGCAACTGATCAGGGTTTGTGCTTGTACAACTCTGATGGACGTTCCTTTATACCCAAATTACATTGTATAATTGATGAAACAGGTTGATGGAGACACTATCACTGTCACAGTGTGGAGGCACCATGTAGTCTATACCATTCAGACCTTGCATTGTCCATTGCGACAGGCAAGGATTTATGCATTCAAACTTTGGTGTAAGGTGCTGACCCAAAGTGCAGTGTAAGATTGATGAAACAGATTGATACTGTAGAGTATACTGTTTATGCACGTATGTTCACTAATAAAAGCTAGCACGTTGCACCATTTTGAAATGGCAAATTGCTTTTTCATGAATACGATGTACTGATCATACATTGGGGACTCCCAGTGCAATTTTCATAAAAGGTTGATTAAAACTCAGCAGCCCAATTATGTTAAAATGATGATGTGTACAGAGTCTGTGCTTGATTACCATTCAGCTAGCCACAAGCTCTCTTTCACAGACTCTCATCTCACAATATTGCTGATAAATTATACCCCCCCTTTCTCTCTCTCTCTCTCTTTCTTTCTCTCTCTCTCTCTTTTCTCTTTTTCTCTCTCTCTTTCTCTCCCTCTCTTTCTCTCTCTCTTTCTCTCTCTTTCTCTCTCTCTCTCTTTCTCTCTCTCTTTCTTTCTCTCTCTCTTTCTTTCTCTCTTCTCTCTCTCTCTCTCTCCCCTCCCTCTCTTTCTCTCTTTTTCTATCTCTCTTTCTTCTCGCTCTCTTGCTCTCTCAGACAAGGATAAAGGTGAAAAGAATAAAACAAGAAAATTGTCAAAAAGGAAATAAACAGGAGAAAGGGGGGATGGTTGCGACATAAGAATATAGAGAGGAAGATGGAGAGACACGGGACAAAGAGAGGGAGGAAGAGGAAACTAGAGAGAGAGAAAGAGAGAAAAAGAGAGAGCGAAAGAGGTGGGAGGGGGTCAGAGGGTCAGAGAAATAGAGAGAACATAATATCAAAACAGAGAGAGGGGGCAAGAATTAGAGAGAGGGGCAAAATGAATGTAGGTACTGGAGGACATTAACTTATAATAGTATATTTGTAAAGTGCTTAGAGACATTGTATTAAGTGCTATATAAATGCTAAATATTATTATATTATTTAACATAGAGTTAACACCCTTCTGGCTCCAAACAGACGAATATAAACACAAGAGAGGGATCACATGCTTGCCAACCTTCTAAAGCCAACATTAGGTAAATAATGCATTCCACATGTTTTATTCCAACAAGAAACCAAGAGGACATACTATAGGATTCATGAAACCAGCTTAAAGCCCAAAAAATAATCTCATTCCTCCAAAATTGGAATGGTTGTTAGGGCTCTATGGAATTATTACACAGTCTGGGAAATAAATTTTAAATTGTGCTCAGGTCTCTCTCGGTATGCATGGGATGAGCACAAAGCTGGGTGGATGCAATCATTCTCCTGCCAGGCATAGAGGATGTACACACACCTCACATCACACAGCTAGGTTCACTCAAGTGCTAACTATTCTGCTTGCACCCAAACAGGCTATAAAGTCATCACTATGCACACCGTAGAGCTTGTATAGTGGACAAACGAAGGGGACTCGCTCGCTCATTGAGGGGGAAATTTATGAGTTGTTGTTTAACATCCTGACTTGCTTCGTACCTCGACCAATCCATTGCTATGATAGCTAGCATACATCATATACATGGATGCACTAAGCACTTCTGACATCATCACAATACTCTCTCTATTGCATAGGATTGTGATGCACATATGCTACATGTACATTGTACATAGAATTATCGCAATCCAGGGCCCAAGCCTTGGGCTGGGTTATGGATGATCAATTGCAAATTGTCCTTTAATTGATCATAAATATATAATCTCATGTTTCTATTCATTGTGCCCTTGAGGCCATGCAATTCATTGCTGATCTTGTGTTGTTCAGTTCTGTGATTATGAATACACATGCATGTGACGTACATGTACTGTATACAACTCACTATGTACAGTACATACATGTACAATGCTTTTCAGGAACAACTTATAAATAGATTGTATTATGTACATGTGCAGTACATGTAATGTAATTGAACTCACTGTGGTAATGGCAGTTAAGAGTGGTTTCATATCTTCCCCTGATATTCAGCATTCTGCCAATGTACATTGACAGGTACAATAAGAAAGAAACTATAACAGTCTTCAAATGGTTTTGAAGCACTGTTTGAGGCTCACGTACATGTACATGTACATGTACTAATTATGCGTTAATATAATTGTCAAAATGACAGAATGCTGAAAATGACCACTGTATACATTTTCTTTCTATTTTAATGCAGTGTGTATTTACATGTTCAGGTGTATACAGATGTATACAAGTCATTTATGCTTTGGCTAATATTGCTATGTGGTTGAAAGCAACATAAAGTCTAACCACATGAAATAAGGCAATTCACCAGAATTGGAATATTGCACAGTGTACAGTACATGTAGAATATGTACACTGTACAAATGAACGTTCATGAAATTAAAAAAAATGATACAGATTTATTTTACATGTACTGGATGGTGACTATGGTAACCATGCTCTCTTATCTCTCTCTCTCTCTGTCTCTCTGTCTCTCTTCCTCTATTTCTCTCTCTCTCTCTTCCTCTATTTCTCTCTCTCTCTCTTCCTCTATTTCTCTCTCTCTTTCTCTCTCCCCCTCTCTCTCTCTCTCTCTCTCTGTGTATATTGCATCTAAACCTATCAATCAATCCACAAAAGATTTCTGCCCATGACAGGCTTTCCATTAACACGCCTCTATGCATTCTTTCAGTGCTTTATAACTGGTTTATCAGTAGTCTTACCCGG